GGACGATGACGTGGAGCAGCCGCGGCCCGGGACCCTCCGCCACGCGGCCATCCAGCCCGGACCCCTCTGGATCGTTTTCGCCCACAGCATGGTGATTAGGCTGAAACAGGAGCTCATATTCTCGAGCCACAAGACGGTCGACGGGCGTGGGGCCCACGTCCACATTGCCTACGGCGCTGGAATCACGCTGCAGTTTGTGCACAACGTGATCGTTCACAACGTGTGGATTCACGATATTGTCCCCACTTCCGGGGGAATGATTAGGGATGCCGTTGACCATGTGGGCCTACGCACGGTAAGCGACGGGGACGGGATATCGGTTTTCAGCTCAAGCGATATATGGATCGACCATGTCTCGTTGGCTAAGGGTACGGATGGGCTGATTGACGTGATCGAAGGCTCGACAGCTGTCACCATTTCCAATTGCAAATTCAACAACCACGATTCTGTAAGTCCACAAACACATTTTTTTGGGAAAATTTTTCTTAACCTCACAAAGTTATGGCCGATTTTAGAGTTCGCCTTAAAAATTTTTTCTCTTGACACTTTGTATCCCTTAGTAATCGAAACTGACAATTTGTCTCCTCGATTGAAAAGATTTTTTTAACTTAATTAATGAAAAATTTTGAATTAATCTTTAATATTGATTTAGGGCTTTTGAAGCCCATGGGGAGACGAACAAAATGATGTATGGTTTGTCGACTTTTAAAAACTTGAATTGAATTTTTTTCTACACACACGTACTACTACTACTATCTTCATCAATCGATACACAGATGTATCGATTTTCAAAAATCGACAAACCATACCTCATTTTGTCCGTTTCTCCATGGGCTTTAAAAGCCGTAAATCAATTTTAATGATCAATTTAAGATTTATCGTTAATTGAGTTAAAAAAAAAATTGTGCCATATTAGGATTTTTAATTGAGGAGACAAATAGGATTTTTAATTGAGGAGACAAATTGTCAGTTTCGATTATTATGAGAGGCAAAGTGTCAAGCGAAGTAGTCTTTAAGCAAACTCTAAAGTGCCATATTTCACGAGGTTAAAAAAAAAATCCCTATTTTTTTGTCTCAAATAAAATATATGTATATATGAAAAAAATGAACATTGAATACACGATCAGGTGATCCTTTTGGGGGCGCACGATCGCGACACGAAAGATTCGATAATGCAAGTGACAGTTGCATTCAATCGGTTCGGGAAAGGTTTGGTCCAAAGGATGCCGAGATGCCGGTGGGGATTTATCCATATCATCAACAATGATTATTCCAAGTGGAAAATGTATGCTATAGGTGGAAGTGCGCACCCGACCATCATCAGCCAGGGCAACCGGTTCAAGGCTTCAGGCGACCCAAATACAAAAGAGGTAATTAATACTTCATATGTGCAATTCTTTTATTTTTTTTTCAAAGTATACTAAATAATTCAAATCACTTAATTTTTTTTTTTGGTTCAGGTGACCAAGAGGAACTTTGCGACTGAGGACGTGTGGAGCAAATGGCAGTGGAGGTCCGAGGGTGATAAGTTTGCGAATGGAGCCTACTTCACGGAGTCGGGCCCACAGGTTGTACATGCAGAAACTCCCTTCACTAAGAAAAACTTCATCAAGTTCAGGCCCGGTTCATATGCCGGCAGGCTCACGCGATATGCTGGTGCACTCAGCTGCCGTTATGGCGAATTATGCTAAAAAAAAAAAAGATTCCTTATGGGGTTTTCAAGGGAGGATGGCAAAATGTATTTGCCTCCCATTTAAATGAATGAAACAGAAAGTTATATGTGAACGTGAATCGACCATTTAACTCCTCCCTTTTTCTATCTGAATGAATTGAGAAAAAAGAAAAGCAACAATACAAGTTTGTTGTGAAGATGCAAAAAAAAAGAAAAAAAGAAAAGAAAAAATAGACCGATGTTCTTTTCTACTACCTAATTGTAAGATTTTTTCAGTTCGATTCTGCTATAATTTCTATCACATTTTCTATCATCTATGATGCTTGATACACTAAATATAAATCAAACAGAACGATTGTAACGTCATTATATACATACGGCAAAGCATCTCATGTTTATTACAACATGCACGCTCCCAATTATATAAAGTCATTCTTCAAGACTATTAGTGTGTCTCCATGTGCACGCATCTTCTTCAATATCGCGACGCGTTTCATTATTCCCAAGTTTGGAACCATCTTTAATTTGTATCCATCCAAAATGTTGTCATATCTTCTTACTTGATCCTTTTCTTATTGACTCTATTTTTCCACCTTCAAAATCCTGATTTCTTATATACCTCCATAATCTCTCATTCTTGCTCTTTTCATTCACTCTTTTTCCTACAAGTCAAAATTAGTTATATCCAAATAATACAAAAAATATAATCAAACTTATGGAATGATAAGATAGGAGATCTTACCTTTTATGTCAAGCAATAATTTCATGATATCTATTTCAAGAAACACAAATAAGTGATGAGTTTGGGGAAGAACGTCGGTTAATTATTCATGGATCGAAATATGAAAGTTTAATCCTAAACACAATGTATTCCAAAGGTTAGGAAGTTTAAGATTAAGATCTTATGGTTTGTTAATAGTCGATTATGACTCAAATGGTTACGTGATCGTGCGAACGGGCATCCTTGATTACCTTTGGATCTTCTTCTGCTTATCGTCCACCTCAGTTGGGTGACTTGTGACGACGATCTCTTGAACTCGTGTGGCCGAATCTTCATTTTTCTACTTGTTCACTTAAACTCAAGCCTTCTCTCTGTCTCTCTCTGAGGGTCACATGTGTTTCTTGTGTGTCTTGCGAGAGAATGAGATCCATGTACTATATTTATATTTATAGACTACAACAGACACATTGACACCTTAAAGAGGTTAGAATTAAGTTGGAAAAAGAATACTTGGTTATGATCCACCTCACTTCTTGGCCCATCAATAATAACTCAGTCTGCTACAACAGATTGATTATTAAACTACCATTCTGAAAACCCAAACTAAATGGGCTCAGCTATACTTGAGCTATCTCCTCATATTTAAGATATCGAACACCTGTTAATTAATTTAATTACAGATAATTTAAGTATTAATATCTTGGTTTCCCAAAATTAGCACAATAGAACCTTATTATTATGCCGAATAATACCCATTTGAACTCATCTCGGCGACGTCGTCATACTGGCACAACATAGTAGCCGGATAATTAACACCACACCATGTAATCAATAATATCCCAAACTCACTGAGTATATTGACTTAAAGAATAAGTATCACCCTTAAGAAATTAATTATTAAGTACACGTGCCCATTATAATCATCTGGTTCAGAGTAAGATTGATATCATAAGGTCTAGTTTATTTAATAGGTCAACATGAATAAACTTCTCCATCACGATCCAATTCAATACAAAGTGTACTAGTATAATTTATGAGTTAGATAAACTAATTCAAATTGTACTACAACCATACCAATAGATTAGTCCATTTTGATCTCGGTTGTGAACTTTATTTATATTGTACAAGGAACTAGTAATGATATAACATATAGAGTAGCTCGGACGAACCTATCTCAGTTAGCTCGGGTGAATGGACTTTTCATATAGCTCGATGGTATAACAACTCAGGTTGACCGATTTTTTATATAGGCCAGTTACATAGTCATAAAACCTAGTAGCTCGGATAGAGGAGGTGACCTCTTGACAGTTAGTAATATTACCGACCGTGGATAATATATACATGTAGACCTACTTATATTGTATCTGGCCAACCTACGTGCAGTTATACATGTAGACCTACTGACAGAGAATTTGGCCGACCTATTGTTCGCCTATATTTTTAAAGCTCAACCGCAAGTGTACGGTTTCGCTCGTAGTATGTGGCAAGCAAGGTCGTATCCCAAGAGACCAAATAATTAATATATCAAGTACAAGATTATGATAGTGTCAACTTTATTTAGACGACCAAATATGAGATGAATTAACTAAACTAAGAAAATATAATTAAAGAGAAATAAAGCAACAAGATAAAACTAGCTAGAAAAACACGTAAGAAGATGTAGGAGAACGATAGAAACTAAGACTTTGGTTTCAATTAATAGTTGGGTTCCTTCAAAAATATCACAACTAAATGTTCCTTTATCTACCCTATAAGATGATCACAAATTTAGCTTATCGTCCCTCTCGAGATCGATAAAACCGTAGATTAAATCACATATATTAGTGTCTCCACTCAACAGATGCAATTCAACTCCAAATAGATTAAAGGATCTAATATCCTCACAACGACCTACTAATCTCTCGATTCAAGCAAGTAAATTGTGTCAAATATTAAAGACCTAATATTGAACTCATCTCTCGAATTATGAACAATAATGTCAAACATGTAAAAGCATTGATCAAGTGCTAAACATGAAACAAGAACAAAATATTTGAATAGGGTTCAAAAGAAAAATAATCAATTATAATAATTCATCCAAAATCCCAACATATTAATCTACTACCAAGTCCTAGAATCGAATAAACTAGCCAATCATGTTCGAATTCAAATACATAGACATATTAGAAATCGACATGATAAATAAAAGTTCAAAAGGAAAGAAGAAAATAAAAAACTAGGAATCTCGTCGATCTTTCAATCTTCTTGATCCCTTTGTAGTTGGATCTTCTTTTGCTTCCCAATTGCTTCCCTTGTGTGTTCTAGGGCCTCTCTAATGTGTATTCACGTTTCTTTTCTCAAAATAGGGTAAATATGCCTTTTATAATGTCAAAAAACCCTTCTCATTTTCAAAATAGGTAAGATATAAAAAACTGCCTGCGCGCGCGACACGGCCATTCTGCCCGTGTCACGGTCCGTGTCGCAGCCCGTGTCAGCTCCCAGGTTACAAAATCTCTCTGTTGAGGTGACACGGCCTCTGACACGGGCATGGTGCCCGTGTCACTGCCTGTGTCACAAATCTGCGCTCTCATTTTTGCTCGTTTCACTCGTTTCTTCCATATTTTTCATCCGTACATCAATCTTTCATCATCCCGGGGGTTTTAGGTACTCACCATGCGCCTCCAATAGCCAAATGCTCTACAAATATGTGGAACTATCTACAAAAAAAACACGTGTAATACCTTTCCAACAAATAGAGAATTAAAGCACAAATATGCAATTTATACACCAATAATGCAATGACTAAGCTCTAGATACTCAATAAATATGGTATAAAATCACACATGAACACCTATACATGCAGTCATTCATGTAGACTTATGCTCCCCCTTTCATTTAATGCTTTAGATGAAAAGTCACCCTGTCCATCCCATCCTTTGTCGGTGTAACTGACATCTTGATTGGCAAAGAACAAAAGCTTCTCAGGCGTATCGATTATCTCCTCCACACCTGTGAACCTGGGGGACTCCATGATGTGCTTAACTTTTCATGGACCCCAGACCGTCACATCAAGGTCAGGCCGAATGAGCATTGGGTATACGAATTTGAGCAGAAGTGGCCAAGGAAGAAGCATCGACAAGATCTGTCGATCTCCCTGATCGGCTGACACCCCTTATGCCGATCTCATCCTGAGTCTTCCCCAGGAAGATTGACGATCTATCTCGCATGTAGAAGCAGAACCATTAAAGCTAATAAAGCCACCGCCCGAGCCGTCACATCCTCAAAAGTCGAGTTTTGCACGAATACACGTGACGCGAACCTACGCTCTTAGCTGACACAATACCATTATTGTACTTTTACGTTTTCAGTGTATAAATACGGACAAACCCTTGCCCCTCAAAAAAGAAAGATATACAACCTTGTACAAAAACCACTATACACAATAAACACCCTCAATAAAAATTCCCGGAGAAACCTTTTCTCCTTCCCAATCTCCTCCGCAGATCGAAAAAATCATGTCTTATTATTTCTTCACTTTCATTATCTCTATTTATGTTCTCCTTTACTTTGGAGACAAACTCTAATCCCATTAATTATTCAATAACTCCTGATTTAACTGCCTATTAAATCCAATTCGTAATCGTTGGTGGTCGACCGTCACCATGATATAAGTTACAAAATACTATAACATAAGATGAATAAGTCATACTCCCTCCTATTTTTAATAAATGTCGTTTTGAAAAGTTGCAAAGTAATTAAGAATATTTTTTTTGTCAATAATAATCCTCATTAATGATGATAGAGATGGATGTTTTGAGAAAAGATGGAGAGTGAATATGAAATAATTATAGAGGATAGAGATGGATGTTTTGAGAAAAGATGGAGAGTGAATATGAAAAGACGTACTGTATTTATTAGTTAGATGGGGGTAATAATGGAAAAATATGTACAAAATAATCAAAATGACATTTATTTAACAAATGATCAATTAAGCTAGAATGACAAATAATAAAATTAGGAGGGAGTACAAGTGATGTATGTCATTTTAAATATAAATAATAGTATAATTATTTTAAAAGTACTTATAATTTGAAATAATTATTTTTTAATTTTAAGTATAAACTTTTTAATAAGCACCCAAACAATATACATGTATTTTACTGGATAAATATATTTCAGAATATCTTTAGGGCATTCTTGGATATAAATATATACACTCAAAATGATTTTTTTTGTTAACCAGAGTTAATCATGTAAAATATGGTATGGTTAATTGATAGTGTAATTTGAGTTTATATTAAAATAAAATAATTAAAATTGAGTCAAGGTAAAAGTAGAGTGATAATTAAAGTTAATTCGATGTAAAAGTAGGTAAGAGATATGTAAAGTGATTGTTTAATGAATTAAAGTTGATGCGTGAAAATGATTAATTGATATTATTTAATTATATTAATAATATTGATAATAATATGATTAAGTTAAAATTAGATTTTAAGTATGGATTGAAAAAATTTATAAATATATATATCCTTAAATATATTAAAAGCCAAACGAAACAAGCAAAATCACATTTCCTCCCTACCCTCCATTATCATAAAATTTTCGAACTTCTCAAGAAAAGAAAAACCACAACAATGGTGAGCCTCAGTCTATGCGCCGGCGGAGGGGGTATTTCAGTTCGGAACCCTCACAAGCCATCCTCATATATTTCCACCATACCCTCAAAAAATGCGGCCTTTACCACAACCCCACATAGAAATCACTTTCGAAGTTTATCCGTTAGTGTTAAAAGTCAGTACTCGAATCGTCAGGAGCAAATTCATCAGCAGCAGAGGTTTTCTTCTTATGACACTCCATCCTCCCTGCCTGGTGAGTTGAATTAAGGTTTTCTTACTGTATACTTGTTCCGGATTTGATTATTCTATACGGGCTTGTCAGGAAATGTTTCTTTCTTCCTTTTTAATCCGTGCTTTTGTTTCTTTTTGTTGGTGCTGGTGGCTCTTTATTTTACTTGACTGATTTGCTTAAGGTGTGTGTTTCATGTTCCTCTTGATTAAATGTAGTTGGATGTTAGCTGTTTGCTTTTTGTTTCCTCTACTTATTAACTAACAATACTTCAATTATGTTATGAAACTAAAAGTTGTCCTTTCTCATTCAATTTCTCATTACAATGGTCTGTTAGTGATATATTATTCTTTTCTTTAGACATCGTTACGCATAGTTGTCATTCATATATCTGCTCCTAACAATGCATATGGATGATATTGGCTACATGTAAAACAGGACAATCGCCCCCAAGGGTTTATGTGGGCCACTCTATATATAAAGGAAAAGCTGCACTTACAGTCGAACCACGGCCGCCTGAGTTCTCTTCTTTAGATGTATGTTATCTGAGCAAAGCCAATGTGTAAATCACTGTAGAATATATCTCAATTGTCATGATTATGTTTTTGTATATTTTTTTATTGTGAACCAGTCGGGTGCATATAAGCTATCAAAGGAGGGCTTTGTTTTACTCCAGTTTGCCCCTGCAGTTGGTGTCCGTCAATATGATTGGGGTAGGAAGCAGGTAAATTATTTGCTTTTCTTTTATCCTAATATTATCAAATGAGAACAATACGCTGTTGCTGGATTAAATGTGTGGTAGAATGTTGGATATGATTTCAAGAAACTCAATACCAGTTGCATATTAGTTAAATTTTAAGGAAGATCTCTTGCTTTTTATAGTTGATAATCTCATTGTGAACCAAACCTAAGTAAGCTGAAAGGTTTTCTCTGGATATATAAGTTAATCTAGTTTCTCGATTTCTCGTACTCTCCACCTCCCCCTAGCCCTAAGGAGTTTCCACAGCTGTGAATAATGTGGCATAACTAGAATAAGATGCCAAAACATAATACATAGCAATGATATAGATAATATAAACCATCTAGCTATAGGCAAAGACACTGGCTATTTACTTAACTTGGCATGCAATGTCTTTAGTTTATTTTTATTTCTCCATTTTGTGGGATAATATTTGCTTTTATCTATCTTCAGGTATTCTCCTTGAATGTGAGTGAAATTGGGAGCATAATAAGCCTCGGGGCAAGAGATTCTTGTGAATTTTTTCATGATCCCATGAAAGGTAGAAGGTAAGATCATCTTTCATTTTCTGATGATCATTTATCGTTTACGGCCCCTTAGTTTCTATTTGCAAATTACTGATGCGAATGGAAAATGGCAACCTGCTTTTGATTTATTGATGCAATGTATGCTAACATAGCTTGCTCTAAAGAAATGTAACCTCAAAATCTTGTGTTCTTGTGAACTTTTTGTGTGTGTGTGTGTGTGTGTGTGGGTGGGAGATGAAAGAATGATTATTTATCCCCTTTTCAGAATTTGATCCTCATTCGTTCATATTAAAGCGTACAAAATGTGATTGGATTTCCATTTTTATTTATCAACTACTATCCAATCTGTTTCGTAGTGATGAAGGTAAAGTGAGGAAAGTGTTGAAGGTGGAGCCTTTTCCTGATGGTTCTGGCCACTTCTTCAATCTCAGTAAACTCCGTTTTCCTCTTGAGTCCTTGTTCAACATATTTCTTGACATTATATCTTTTCTGATTCTTGGATTATTGGATAACTGAAAGGTGTTCAAAACAAGCTCTTGAATGTGGACGAGAACATTTACATCCCCATCACCAAGGCAGAGTTTTCTGTTCTCATATCATCATTTAACGTAAGCTTGCTGTCTGTTAAATTCAAGTTGGTGTATAAACTTTCTGTTTCGTTTTTTTCATTTTAAAAAAAGTAAATGATATAGAACAGGCTTAATTTTTCACTTCCGCTAGGAGTTTTCCATATACAAAATCACTCGTGTTTTTATAACATTAGCTTTCTTTTTTTGTGGTCGTCCTTTCGGCAGTTCATTTTGCCGTACCTAATAGGCTGGCACGCCTTTGCAAATACTATAAAGCCTGAAGATTCAAACCGTGCGAACGACGTGAATACTAGGTCTGTGGATTATGAATGGAACAGATAGTTTGAGCTTTATGTTGTTGTGAGGTTTCCTAGGTAAGAGATCAACATTTTTTTCACTTTTGTTTGCGTGATATTGCTAGATTCTGTATGTTTTCGTTTCTATTGTGGTATTGCCCAACCTTTTGGGTTTAGCTTTTGCTTATGTGAATTTTTCTTCAAGGGAATTGAGTTTTATAATTATCTTTATGTTAGCCTCTGCCGCTATATTTCTCGGCTTCAGTTCGACACAACTAAAAGGGTAAAAAGAAAAAAGAGAAGAGGATCCACCACAACCTTTTCGTGGTTTCTCAATATAATTGAGTTTAATGATGAATTCCTTACATAGAATGAGGTTTTCATTTCGTACGTAGTTCCTACATATTCATTGATTTGTTCTTTGTCACATGTGAAGTCGCTTCAAGTGGAGGCTAGGCTGGCAATTGTAACTGAATCAAGCCTGAGATTAGGTAAGCTATATTCTCCAAACATTCTTAAGCCTTCCTTGAAAATCCCATTTGTGCGGAAACCCAAAAATGACGACATTAAGGATACCAAAACCTGGTTCGGAGTGGCACTCCGAACCAGCTCAACTTTCATGTGTATGCTGGTGAGTTTGATAGTAGCATGCTTAGTGGTGTGTCCTGCCTTGAGCTTGAGCTTGAGCTTGAGCTCTGCGCATGCTTTAGAGTTTGTAAGGAAATGTAAATTTGTCAGGAATAAATTGGAGAGTTTGTGCACAAAGAGGGGAATAGCTTCTTAGTAGAGTCCATCTTTTTACTAACATCGCATCGTGGTGCCTCATATTTGAAGATAAAAAACATAAATAAAAGCATGACATCTAATAATATATATGTATTTTTGTTAACATAATGTGTGGGTTGATTTGTTTAATGGTTAGAATGCTTCACACGAAAACCTGTGAAAAAATAAAAAAATAAAAATAAAAAAATTCCGTCGCATAATATGCAAGAGACAACTTGAAAGCAGATACCTTGGCTTATATTACCTGGAAAATCCAAAATAGAAACCTTGTCCTTTATGGAAGAGGCACTGGAAAAAAGATACTAAAAGCTAAGCTGGGAGCTTTCCCCACGCTTTTAATCTCGGCCCAACTGTACGAGTGAGGCCCAAGATAATTTACAAAATAATTTCAGCAACTGTTTCAATGATAATTTTAAGATAATTTAAGCTAAACGATAGCACAGTTACTTATGATACAAATTGCTATCACTAAAAAGTTGACCTAAACCAATTTCAATTTTGTGTTTTTTGCACTTTCTTTAATGTTTACGCCTTAAAAATCCATCCACAATTGGTGCAATAATAATTTTAATATTATTTTATCTGATTAATTGATCATAGTCAGCCAAGATTGCAAAAATTTTATTATTGCAATCAATATTCATATGCAAGTTAAATAGTCTATATCTATATTGTTCATTTTTACCAATGATAAAATTTATAAAATACGCTAGGCTCATTATCTAACTTATGATATATATAGACTCTTTGCTTCTGTGCATGTGCACGTGATCGAATACTAGTTTTACTTGAAATCTACCACAATCAAATTATATCAAATCAAAAAATAACATAATTGATATATTCAATACTGAAGTAATATAAATAGAACTATTATCATATATTGTCTTGAACAAATTATTCAATATAACTCAATTTAATTAAACAATAAAAAATTTATACACAAAAAAAAATGGTCAAAAGCTAAAAAGAAAAGTAAAAATGGAAATACACTTAAATCATTTTCAAGTATATAATTCATTAATCTAGTCTAAAAACATTTAATTTATTTTGTGTCGAAGTAAGATTAACACCAGTCTATTATAAATGACATGAGATAAAATATATTTCACTTGTACAAATTTAGGAAAATCAAAGAATTAAGATCGGGTTGGAGCCCACCCAGCCTTTTGGTGGCTCCGCCCCTGCTACCACACTTGAACTATAATTCGTAATTTTATAAACCAGATATTCCCATGAGAGTTCCCTCAAACACTTCAGTGGATATTTTTGTCATTACATTAATACTCAATGAAGTAATTTGAGAGGACTCTTGTGGAAATCTGATAATTTTGAATCTAACACAAAAATTTCTTTTTCTAAGTTGAACTCATACAATTATTTTTAACCTTTTTTTTTTTATCAATATATCAAAATTTTCCGAGAGTTCCCCCAAACACTTCAGTGATTTTTTGTTTTCTCGAAAGAGAAATAACTCAATGAAGTGATTGAGGGAACTCTAGGAAAAACCTGATGACCCGTTTCTTGTTGTCGGAGGATTGAATTTTCAAAACTGATATTGGTATTTATATATAGTTAGCATGCGAATGTTGTGGTGAACTTTTGCCACATTCAGATGTAAATATTTGAGGTTCAAAATAAAAAATAGAAAAACGAAAAAAAGAACCTAGGAGGTATATATATGCGCTAGCAGTTTGCACCTAGTCATGAAAATGGTCCAAGTGAAGAAGAACAAAAGATATTTGGGATCACAAAGGTTAGAATATACCAAGTCATTGCATTTTTATTCCAATAATAACTCGTATTGTGTTATTTTCTAGTCATACATGATCGTTTTGTGAATTTAATTTTGCGTGTGTAATGATGATCTAATGGATAGTAAGTTGCAGGAAAGATGCCCTGAAAAGTGAAGATGCACCAAAAGATATATAGTCAATTGGTCCAAGTGTTATATTCTATTTTCATTATTTGTCCTAAATTCTAGGCCAGGTTCAAACACTTCCATGTATCTATGCTTAGTTTCCTCTGGATGAAAATATATGGTCCTGCATCCAATGTTTATGTCCAAAATCCCGTGTGTTTTATATAGATTTTGATAATTTCATTATAAATAGTAATTTATACATATCCTCTCATGAGTCGGTCCACTTTAATATTTTGTTTAGATGGTTTCACTTCATGTTAATGTAATGACACTTTTATGTGCAAATTGTTGTGTACGTTAGACATGGCCAAAGAGTCGTCCGGCCCGGATCCGGCACGGACCTGGCCCGGTCAAAACCGTTGACCACGGGTCCGGGACCGGCCCGGATTTCAAAAGGGCCGTGTAAGGGTCATTCGTTTCATGACTCGGGCCGGGCCGGGTTGATGACCTTTTTTTTAATTTTTTTGTTATTTTTTTATACCTTTTTTTAAAAAGCATGGATCCGGGCCGGACTCGGCACGGCCCGGACACGGACCCGGACACGACCCGGCCCGGACACGGACCCGGCACGAGTATAGGTCCGTGCCGGTTCAGGGTTAGTGTTTTTTAGCCCGGCGACCCGGCTCGAATTTTGGCCATGTCTAGTGTACGTGTATATAGAGCATTACTGGTACTCTTGTCAATTGCATGCCGAAATAAGGGTAGACCAACCTTCTCATTTCGTTTTTATATCTCGTGTTAGATTTTTTCTATCTATATCTATACTATTATAAAAGGACGAGTGATTTTGTAAAAATAATGATTTGCCTAAAAAACCCTTACTTTGACATATATTTAATGGCAAATTAGAGGGTGATTGTTTATCAATTCATCTAGAAATTAATTGGTTTTTTTTTAACTATAGTTACTTTTGAAAAAAGTTAGTATAGTTAGTTGTTAGTGGATATATTAAAATAATATTTAAAATAAAATAATTAAAATTGATAGATGTAAAAGTAAGAGAAAAATGATTGGAAATGATGGTTAGTTAAAATTATGTGAGTGGATGAATAGTGAATTAAAGTTGACGTGATGTGTAAGAATGATTGGTTGGAATTATTTAATTATATTGGTAATAATGGAAATAGTGGAGTTGTGTTAAAGTTGAGTTAAATTTGAGTTTTGATTGGTTTTTTTTGAATTGGATTGATAAACAATCACACCCTTAGTAATTCAGTAATACCCGTCTTATTTTATATTTTTAATTAACAAATGATGATCTGCCTAAAAAACCCTTACTTTGACATATTTTTAATGGCAAATTAGTAATACAGTAATATCGATCTTATTTTATATTTTTAATTAACAAATGAACTACCTAAAAAACTCTTACTTTGACTTAATTTTAATGTCAAATTATTAATACACTAATACTCTTCAAATCTTATATTTTTAGTTAATCATTAATATTTAATTAAATAAATAACAGCGTAACATTGAAGACTATTATGATCCACGCCCAAAGTATGACTCAAATAATTCTAAATTTTACTAAAGTGATGGAGATTGAGGTGTTCTTGAAGAAATTGTTATGATCTCTTAGCTAAGTAGCTGTTGAAAAAAAAAAATAACTCTTCAACAGAAGTTCACCAAAACAAATTGGTTCTTGTAAACAATATATCTACAAAATTATCTTATACAATATTTAGTCCAAATGTTTTATTATATTCTATGTCTAAATGTTGTGCTAACTAAAATGGTAACTCGGAATACTACTAAAAAAGGACGAGTATTTTTGTAATAGAAAGAACTAACTACTATACCCTTACTTTGGTATATTTTAAATGGCAAATTAGTAATAACATAATATATATCCCATCTTATATTTTTTTATTAATAACTAATATTTACCTAAAAAGCCTTTTATTTGACATATTTTTAATGTCAAATTAGTAATACACTAATATTAATTTAATATTTTATTCATAAAATATAATTAAATGAACAAAACATTCCACATCTCTTAAAAATCATCCACAATATTCACATCATTATTCTTAAAAAATTTGGTTTCTTCCACATATCTCCCAAACTGTTTTCTTCCATATCTCTAAAAAATCAACTCAACAGTAACCCAAACAACAAAGTTTTGAAATGATATTGAATTTTTGTTTTGAATAACGTACTTATTTTTAATATACTTTTGATGATAAAATCGTAATCATATTTAATGATTTTAATATATAAAATTTATTTAAACAAAAAATTATGCAACAAACAACATAATAAATACTTATAAAAGATCTAAATATTCTCAACTATTTGTTTACCTATCTTTTAACAAAACGATAAATCTTGGTAAAACATGATAATTTAGTTGAGGGGTAAATTTTATATAATAAATAATTTTCAAGATACATACATAAATTTAATTAAGAGAAGATACCTAAAATATTAACGAAATCATGCACACGTGAAATATATACATAATCTAACAGACTAGAATAATGGAAGAATTCATTTAACTAGGTCATTATTTAAGAAAAATAAACTCTTGTATTTAGAACTAGAATTAGATTGCACCTTAGTTTTATTGGATAGAATTTTGATCCCACAAAAATCGTCATTGTTTAGTGGTTTGTATTTTCAAATTTTGGTCGCAAAGCTAATAGAGTTAACGAATCTTCACGTGACCATTAGGTGATTAAAATCAAGTTGCATAATTTTTTAATTATTAAGACTTAAAATATTTGAAATTTTTCATTCAATTATTAATAAAAATGTTCGTGACATTTTAATTATTATTATTTTTATTTTATTTGAACAATTAATTATCAAGTTGAGCGCTCTATAAACGATTATAATTCAAAATTTTATAAATAAAATATTTTATTTATTGATATTATTCAATATTCTTAAATACTTTTATGATTTTCTCAATAAAATTTAAGAGTTTATTTAACCGTAAGTATCCTATCAAATAAGATAACTGTTTCAACAATATTTATTTAATTTTACAATTTTATTAATACATATTAGTAAAATATTTAAAATCAATGTTGTTTAGGTATTCCACAGAAAATACCAACAGATAT